AAAGCATTTACAGACTTATAATTGAGTACTTTTATTTTTCTATATAAATATCTACAGCTATTAAATACATTATTGGATAGTGTGTCTTTTCATTCAAGTGGAATGAGGCAGTTATTTTAAGATATTTTCTTCTCTGGATTTTATTTTCAGAAATTTGTAAAAATTACACAGAATGCACAACTTTTACATTTAATTTGGTACAAGTAAACAGAAACACTAAAATTTTAGGAGAAGTAAACTTTAAAATTGCATTGAAATATCTGATAAACCTTACATTTTTCTAAAAGCCTGTATTATCTAATTTAATTTTTTTGTTATCATCCTGTTTAATAATCTTCAATTCAGAATCAACTACCAAACAATTAGTTGCTAGGCTGCAAATATTGGTAACATGTCAACTGAACTTCATATATTATTAAATCATGCTACATTTTATAACCAATATTTCAGTATTTGCTTTTAAGTTTTTTTTTTAATAAAAAAGGCATTTATTCCTTTACTAGGTATTAATTTTAATCATGTACTACATGTGTGTGTTGTAAAGGGTGGGAAAGAAAGTCACTTAAGTTAACCCCTGCTACAGAATGTAGAATGTACCAAAGAATGTACAGTACATTCAGCACATTACGTAACATGCATAACTCTAACTGTTCAAGGTAAGTCAATAAATTTTTACAGCAATCAATTCCTTGTGAAATTCTGACCCTAAATGATGTGTTGTATGACTCCCTTCCCATTTACAGTTTTGGAGTTGCATTCAAGATGGCAGCCATGCACATAACACACATCAATCTGTTTCCTCTTGGTCTAATGCAAGGATGTCCAACCTGCGGCCCACTGCATCCTAAATTTTTTAAGGCATATTTTCATTTATTTTGGTAAAGTTGGTAAAGTATGTTGTAAAACTTATTCTCATCACTGGATACACTTTGATGTCATAATGATGTAATTGGTGTTAAAAAACTGTTTTATCTAGAGAACTGTTATGCTTATGGGATAGTACTGTACATACTGTTATGAACAATTCTTTTTGTGCATTAAAAACATCAAAACTGCTGAAAGAAATAAGTTGAGTGATTCCCATTTAACTAACATTCTTAGAATTAAGACTGGTATTATAAGTGCAGTTATTGACAATACTATAAAAGGAAGGTAATGTCAAAAATCACATTGAATTTATTTTTACTTTGTGTTATTATAATTTCGTTTTTTACTGTCAATTTGTTATTAAAATTTGATACAGTAAGACCCCGCTTAATGCTGTTTCAGTATTACATGGTATTATTGGAATTCCCCGAAATTGCGCACGATTTTGTTGCTTTGATATTTACATGCAGTCTTGCGGCATGTATCATAGCAGTATGATACATGCCGACTGGAAGCTAGTCCGAAAGGCAGGTGTTGGAACCGGTAGACAGCCAATTCCTTTGTAGTGTGTAGATGCCTCTTTTCGTCAGTGACCACCTTAAACCAGAAGAAGCGGGTGACATCTCGGTCGTCGGGGTGCAAGGTTAGCTGGAGGAAGGCTTGACTGCCGTCTCCTACTAAAGCCCTTTTGTGAAAATGAAAGTGAAGTAGTGTCGCTATGATGTCTGGCATCAGGTTGGGACCCACTTCCAAGGCATCATTGAGGACAGGGTGCCATTTCACATGAGAAGAAGCATCAAATACGATACGCCATTTGGAAATGTTGTGTTTACTTCGGATTGCTGTGTGATGTGGCAAGTAGTAGGTCTGTTGTAATGTTGCTTGTTCATCAACCGTTCCACATAACCGTTGGAGAAGTAGTTGAGCATGTGGCAGGTGTACATATTGCTGAACTCTATATCTTTGCTGAATCTGCGACGTAGTGTCTCAAAACGGCGCAGAGCAGTTGTGCGGTTTGTATCTGTGAGGCGGATGTTCTGCTTCCAGGGCAGATGGATCTCTGCCCTTCCTCTCTTGATCCGGAAAGATTGACGGAAGCCGTCGAGCAGATGTGCATCATGGACAATCAACGACTTCTCCTCCAACTCTCGGATGCCGAGGGTATCCAGATCCCACATTGATCGTAGTATTGGGTCCGAAGGGGTTGTAATACTATTAACCTGGACTGGGTGAATCGAGACATTAGTCCTATTACCGTTCAAAATCCAGCCAAAGTGCGATGGGACTAGTGTCAGAGTGCCATTTATGCGAATAGGGCTTTTTGTTTTGACAAATCGCCAATAAAAGTCGGATCCAATTAGTATTTCAATGGGTAAATCACATGACTCCTGCTGTAGATCTGCAAGTTCTAGTGGTGGCATCTCTCTGACGGGATAGGCGAACTGTGATACTGTCGGATGAGGGAGGTATGTATTTGAAGATTCTGCAGCTATTAAGGATGTAGCAAACCTGCTGACATAGCTGGACAGACTGAGTCGCACTCGACGACGTGATGTGTAGGTACTAGCATCTGACTCAAAGGCTTGAATTGCCAACGGTTCATATCCAATCACCACCAGTTCTAGCGAGTCAATGAGGGGGGTGCCAACGAAACTCCTTTGGCTTCCTGGGTCTAAGACACATCTAACTTGTCTTGCAGTGCCCTTTGCTCCATGAACCCAAACTCGAGCTGTCTGTAGATATGTAAAGTCTGAGTGCACATCGATTTTACACACTGTGGCTTGAGATGTGCTAATAGTTGAGAGAGCAAACCCCAGAGCAGATGTTGGGGGTTGGGTCATAGGTGGTGTCGGTCTGTTAGCTGCGACTGTCATGTGAGTCTGCGTTGGGTCTGCCTCACATATCGAAACGTGATGATTGTGTTCACATCGGGGACAATTGTGAGTGGTATGGTTTTGGCCTAAGCACAGAAAACAACAGTTGGTCTCGCGCAGTTTCTCTGCACGTTTTCTCAGATTTGTTAAGAGTGCGCAGTCAGAACTGAAGTGGAGGAAACTGTTGCAGAAGGCACACGGGGGATAGGAGGATCCTCTCCCTTTGGTGTTTCTTCCCGTGGATTTATTCCTTGTCTGGACTGCTAGAGTGGCTGCGGTAGCTTGGGGTTCTTCTCTTGTCAGAAATTGGTCCTGTGTTCCATGGATAGTAGCAGCAGTAGTGATACCGTCTATTTTGTCTCGCACAAACTTCAGCAATAGTTCCAGATCAGATTCATGGGTACCCTTATGACGAACATGAATGAGCCATCGTTCACACAATGAATCCGGGAATGCCCGAAGGATTTTCGGCGTTAGTATGCGTCTGTAGTGGCTAATGGGCTCTCCCAGGGCCTTCAGGGCGTGCACTCTATTATTGCACTCAACGAAGAGGTCATTCAATTCGGTGGCAGTTGGACAGATTAAAGGTTGTAAGCCCTCTAGGTAGTCGATGTGTGCCTGAATTATACGGTTCTTATCTCCGTATTTCTTCAGTAATCGTGCCTTGGTCTCTGCATATGTCCCTGCGGTTATGGCGATGCCATCAACTAGACGCTTAGCCTCACCTTGAAGATATCCTCGAAGGAAGACATGCTTCTCAATATCCGGTATATTTGATCCTCGTCAATGACTGCTGTGAACTGTTCCCAGAAGCATTGCCATTTAGCTATTTCTCCTTCAAACGATTCAAGGACCAAGGCGGGCAATCTGGTGCGAATGGTTGCCTGTGGTTGACCGGTAAAGGACGGGGAGTCAGGACTGATGGGGCTTGCCGTGGTGAGGTCGAATGCGGCGTTCCTATGGTCGAGGACTCGGACTCTAATGACGGCAAGTCGGGTAGATTCTTCCCTCTCTTCACAGGCAGCGGTGTTGGTTTCGTATTTCGTGTCCTCGAGTTTGTTGTGAATAGCTTCATTTAATATCTTTAACTCCCTAAGCCATTCGTTCAACATGTCACGGGACAGTTCGATTTCATCGGACAGCGTCGAGTCAGAAATGGCGTTGATATTGCCGATTGTCTTCTTCATGGATGCTCTTATGGTATTGCGGCGGCATCGGAGCTTGCTCAATTCCCTGGTGGAATTTGGATTCATTCCATTTGGAAATGGCTTGGTCATATATTTTGGTTGACGGTGACAGTGGAGTAACGAAATCAGTTCTGCGAACGACAGAGAAGACGGGCAATATGGCGGACGAACGTACGAGATGGTATGGCAGTGAAAGCCCGTAACGATGAGCGGGACGACAACAAATCGGATAATGGTAGTAACAAGTGAATTGCGTACCTATTGGCATTGGTTCTGGCCAAATCCTGGTCATGGCACCAATTATGTCGTGTCTATGTGCAATAACCCGAAAGGATGAGACTACAGATGAGAATACGGATGAGACACTTTATTATTCGTTACACAGTTAATGGTCAACGATGTCAAACGCGAGCGAAGAACAGTTCAACTGCTCCTTTGTCGTTTTCCCCTCTCTCCTCCTTCACTTCCATCCCTAACTCTCACACCCTCCGATAAATCTCTCATCCCGGGTACACACCCTGATCGGGTCGTATCCACCACGTGTCTCTCCAAATTTCCCCTTTCGCTGTTGGTGGGCCCACTTGTTGTTGCATCACTCACAGTTGGATAACACTGGTCTAATGTGTTCCTGATATGAGCAAACTAATTTTGGTACATTCTATATTCTGTAGCAGGGGTGTTAAGTGACTTTCCCACCCTGTACATTTTATACAGTGGATGATCGGCTAATGAACATAATCCGTTCCAAGACTTTGTTCATTAACTGATTATCAATTTACCATAGGTTTTTATGGGAATTTGATTAATTCATTTTGGAGACTCCAAAAAATAAAAAATATATACTTTTTTATTTTTTGGAGTCTCCGGAACGAATTAATCAAATTCACATACAAACCTATGGTAAATCGATAATCGGTTAACGAACAATTCGGATAG